GGGGGGGGGGGGAGAGAGCCGGGGCCGCCCACCCCCCGCTGGCGCCGTCACTGCGATCAACTATACGGTATGTCATCACAACAAATCTTTAGCTATATTATGTTGTTATTGTTGTACTTGTTTACATTTTCACTCAGATATTCGGGTTATATTGCCATTGCATTATAGCGCAATTTTCAGATTTGCTATGTTGTAAAATAGTGAATAACACGACTTTTCACAACCAATTTTAGTGCCGAGTCTCTGGTCTAAAAAATGGAGGCCTAAACAACAACACAACAATGGTTGCAATTAAATGAACACCAGCAGGTCTACAGGCTTGTACAACTAGAGTAGGCCTACGGTGTAGTGCACGCTTTACTTACATAAAATGTTCATTTTCTAATCTTAGAAGAAACCCCATTCCGATATTCAGTTTAGACGATATTTTGGTGACGACGTGTCTACGATATACAACTGTTCACATTCAAGCTTGCTGTCATTGTAATTTAGATGTTATCAGACAGGTGCATAACCAACCAGGCACCTGAAAGAAAATTCCTACCACAGTACAGTAAAATAGAAATTATTAGTTCAGCGGCGCGCCCACCCCTAAATAGCTCCTACCATCGAACTGGTCTAGCCATTGGAGACGAAACCTCACCACCAGTCTCCTGTCTCTTATACACATCTAGATGTGTATAAGAGACAGGTGTTACATAGTTACCAAGTACTGTACTTGTTAAATAATCCTTATTTTAATCAACTGTTAAAGGTAATTTTTTGCAGGACTCCAAAATGTAACATAACAGTGATAACCAATTGAAAAGAAAAAGATCATAATTGAATACCTATTTAATTTAAAAAAAAAAAAAAAAATCTTACTCGCTTCCCAGCGCCAGACTCATGCTAACCTACCCTTGGCCACAACCATGGTGTGGGGCTGGGGTGGTATACATATCCTCCATCTGCGAAAGTGCCATGGAGGCCTAAATATTTTTTGTTTTTAATGGAAATATAAGAAAATGTTTCTCAAATTTTAAGTCTGAGAGTGCAATTTCAGGCCATCTAGAGGTGCCCTAATCACAGCCCCAACCAATTACAGCCCCAACCAGGCGGCCTTGGCGGCCCCCTGACACCAACCTAGATGCTCGCTTCGCTCGCATACTGGACCTTATGAAATGGCCCTCACTTGCGGACGCTCCCCCCTCCTCCCAAATTCCAAAAGGTCTACTTTTTAAAACACGATTTCACAAAATCGTTCCTAATTATCACAAAATGCTATAGCATGCATTGCATTATATATTTGCCAGCTTATCTGACCATTGATTTTTAATAATGTGGTATGAAATTTGTTAGAAATTGATCGTCTCCGGTGATTGCAGATTGATTTATATAATATGAAGAATGCTATCTATAGGCCTGCAGATGTACAGGACATAATAACGTTACTTTTTCAGGTCCCAAAAACACCCAAATTAATGAAAATTTAAATGAAATATTCATGAATTATGTGTTTGAGAAATCTATTATGCAAGACCCTCAAAATGCTGCTTTTCTTACAAACCCCCTCCAAGGCCTCTGTCCCTGGACCACCAAATTTCAAAAATTCCACTTTTTAAAACTTATTAGGCCTATTTCACTAAAATCGTTCCTAATTTTCGCGAAATGCATTACATATTTTTGCCCGCTCTTCTACCCGTTGATTTTTAATAATGTGCTACGAAATCTGTTGGAAATTATCAGGTCCAGTGATTGTAGGCCTACAGATGTAAAGGACATGAAAAATTACAGATTCACAGTGGTGGATTCAAGGGGGCAGAGCCCCCTAAAAAATAAAAATAAAAAATAAAAATCATAATTACAGTTTGTCTGAGAGTGCCATTTCCGGCCACTTTGAGGTGCCATAATCATAAATTTTCTTACCTCAGCCCCAACCATGGTGGGGCTGATGTGGTATTGACCATCTGTCTGTGAGAGTTTCTCCCTTCACCCCACCCTCTATTTCTCCTGCTTTACTGTAGGTCCCTAGACAATACTCAAATTAAATAGGATATTACAAATTACGGATTTTAGAAATCCATTAAAAAAGGCCCCCAAAATGCTAATTTGTCAGAGCTTTCAGAATTAGATTCGCCCCACCCTCGCGGGGATCCCTAGGCAGTCGCCCATCGTAAGGTTTACTTCGGTTGCAACGCACCTCCCCATCGAAAATCCTGCCTACGGGCCTGGATTTGCAAACACCAGAAGAGATTACATCCACTTTCCACATGGGGCTGCTGAGGCGAAAAAATACGATGTAGCAACTCTAAATGCCACCTTGAGCCGGGCTGAGATTAAAAAAATATAGGGCTGAGGCAACTATGTTATTGAGATCAGATTTTCTTTCCTTAGTTGCAGCTGATAGAGTTAAAATATATAAGTTAAAACGCCACTTAGTCGTCATTGTACAATAAAGCAGTGAAATTTACAGTAATGCATATGATTACCTCTGTTCCCGTTTGCTCACTGTATTTGCTGTTTTCAGTATTCGTGTTATAATGCTCATTTAAAAATTATCCACCAAATTATTTTAACCACATGATAAGGTATAATATAATAGTACACAATAATTGAAAACAGCGACATTTATTATTTTAATACTGTAGGCCTAACTGTGAAAAAAACAGTAAAGGGCTAATTTGGTTTTAACTATAATTATTGTTGCCATACCGGTAACTAATAATTCTTAAATATACACAACTTTAAAAAGTGTTTCATGTGTTCGTTGTTTCAACAAAAACGGAGCATATTTGTAAATCAATCAATCAATCAATCAATCAATCATATTTTATTGTCATTGTTCAAGAGAACATAGCAATTTGTTTTGCTCTGTGGTAAAAACACATTCCAAAAAGGCAGAACAAACACAATCAAAGAAACAAAGTGCAAAAGTATGGAACATTTACCTACAATTTAGAGCCCTAATCGCTCTAGGAAAGAACCTATTCCTGAATTTAGCCTTAGTGGCTTTCAATGAACGAAAACGTCGACCACTGCGCATCGATTGGAATAGGTTTGAGGCAGGATGAGTTTGGTCGCCCATAATAGCCTCTGCCTTTTTAAGAAGCCGATCACGGAAAATGGTTTCCAGAGGCATTTGTTCCAAACCAAAGATATGCGTTGCAGTCCTGACGATTCTGTTAAGGGCATATAAGTCGTTTTCGGTAGCGCCCCCGAACCAGACGGTTATAGATAATGTTAAAATGCTTTCAATTACTGTTCTATAAAACGACATAAAAATAGTCGGATACATTCCAAAAGATTTAAGCCTACGCAAAAAATAAATTCTTTTCTGTGCCCTTTTCACAAATCATTATTTTTTTCAAAGGATCGTAAGATTTTAATTCGGATAGTAGGGGAGATTTCCCGCTGATAAAACCACGAACGGTACTGAGTATTTTATTTTTCTTGCTTCGAACAAGGTATCCATTCATAGAAATCATATGAAGATAAGCCTATCTGAGAGTGACTTTAGGGTGGTCGAAAGCAGGACATATCTCGGACTTTTAATTGAACAAAGATTGAATTATGTAAATTATAAAACAAGTATACAGAAACTACTGTAGCCCATAAACGTAAACAACTATATTTAAAAACTTAACTAATGCATGTGTAAATAATATGTTGTAATTATGAAACAATTAACGTCAGATATGAAAGAATAAAGGAAGAATAGGAAAGAAACTCGGAGCAGCTGAAATATATACCTAAATATACAATAATAAATCTGTATTGCATTACGTTTGTTTTCGGTAAATATTTCAACCGCTCCAAATTCCTTTCCTATTCTACTTTCTTCCTATGCTCCTTCTGTATTTTCGTTAAATTTAATTTATTTTAATAAATACATATTTACGAATCCGGGATATCTTGTTCGAAGAAAGAAATCAATATATTCTATTCGTATAGGAAATTTTAACCTAATACTACTAACATATAAATTTTCGAAGGAACACTGCATACATTGTATACTCTATTACACCAGACGTGCCCGAACCACTCTTCTTCAACTGATCTTTTATCAGCTTGTATTGGGCTCGTAATGCCTTCACTTTTGTTTGAATTTGGGCCGTCGTTCTCTTCTCATGTCCGAGACTGGCTAATCTGTCAGCAAGCACGCCAAAAATTCCCGTTTTGTTGTTTGTTTTTTTTAAATTTTCTATCCGGTCTCTCAGCTCGGGTTGGCCCCACAAATCTACCAGGTCAGCAGTTTCCTGGTCGCTCCAAATCAATCGCATTATTATTAATTAAAATTTGAATTAACTTTTATGAAAAGTAATGATTGCGTCTTGATTGAACACGAAGAACTCGCGGGTTTTTAATTCAAGAACTTCTAAAAGCAACGGCGTCATCGACTGTGATTGGTCGACAGCCGACGAGGAAATGTCAATCTCGGTCACACCTGGGTCAATATGGGTGCTGAGCCGGGATCGAGATAGGTAGATTGAGATCGAGGTCACGTCAGGTAGGGTTTCTTCATAAAGTCTTCTAAACAAATGGATGACTTGTTGTGGAGCAGTAAATCAAGTTGTCCCTCCCCAATACAAAGTGAGCAAACAAAACGCATTATCAGATATAATCTTACTGGTTCTTTATTGTTTATTCATTAATACACATAATCAGCAAAACAATAAAATTTTCCTTCAATTCATTTAATACTTCTCACCTCTAAAGTTACAATAGCATTTGTAAAAGTGCATTATTCTTTCTGGTGGGCAAGATAACCTTACCACTTCAGAGTGGACTTCATGATAAAACTTCAGCTAAAATGGAAAAAACTTTACTGTCCTTGCATCAACTTTAGCTAATTTAGCCCCATACTGAACTAAATGTTCTTGCAATTATACAAAAATGAATATGAAAATTACAATGCTAAAAACCCCATAAAAAATTAAAAGCATATAAACATCAAATGAGACACTTCAAAATGTTGCTTTTTTTGTAGAATACTTCGACTGAAATCACTGTACTCCAACGAAGATACAAAGTCCCCGATTCTGCTATGCCATCCTCAGCCTAAGCATGTAAATAACTTACTTCTCAAAAACACCATTAAATGTAAAGTACTAACAGGGGTGGCGCCAGAATTTGCACGACGGGGGGTCTGAGCTCCCTGACCAGGGGTGGCTTAATGGGAGGCCGATTCCCCCTACAAGAGCAAAGTGGACGTGGTCAAGCATCGCTTAAAATGTTGCGAAAGAGGTTCAGGGAGTGAGACCCCAGAAAATGTTGACAATTTAGGGGATTCAAAGGCTTATTTAATTGATTTTAGAGTCTACTGTACAAAATACATGTAATTTTTTTTCTCCCCGATGAATTGAGGTTTTTCTTCACGCCACCCCCCAGCTGGCGCCACCCCTGAGTACTAAGAGTTAAAATGGGGTTTCAAAGCTTTGCTGTGTATAAATTATCTAAGAACACAGAAGATTCGACTTCATTCAGATATAATAGAATGACTGTGATATATTATATACCATATAATATAAAACAAATCATATTAAATAGTCTTATTAACTGATACCAACTATTTTTATAAGCCATATTGTTCAAATTAGGTGGTGGGTTCATCAAGTACTGTACATAATAATTCCATATAAGAAGAAACAGACCAAGGCATACAATTCTTCCATTGGCCTTTAAGTTGAGATTCAATTCAAAGAAGTTGAACACAAAATCAAGATCGTTAGCATATTTCAACAATGGATTGTATATTAAACACATCATAACATACAGTTCACTGATTTAATTATACACAGAGACACCACATTGTGTTACTAAAAACTAACAGCATTAAGTAGAAGGTAAAACAGTTAGGAATGCTAGATGAGGTCAAGGGGTCATGGGCAGATCTACATATTTACGCTCTTCTTTCTACGATGAATAGTAATTTGTATATACAACTTCAAAGTATTTTCTTTGCATGTGTGCAAAAATTATTATAAACAAAAATAATCTCTATATACTTATTTTAGATATTTTTTCAACTAAAGTTATGGGATGTGCTAAACAAATTTGAGGGATGGATTTTAAAAGCCACTGTTATTGAAAATCAGTGATATTTACAGATTTAAATCTGGGATTACAGTATAATACAAAAGGTCATTATTGGTGCATCACTATTCTAGTAAACCTGTGCTTATATAGTCACAAATACTCAGGACTTTATGCAAGATGATCGTTGCTTGAATGGTATGCAAGAAAAAAAAACATGCCTTCTTTGGCCCAGGCAGAAGAGAATCATATAAACATAACAAATGATGGATATCAAAACAAAATTGTTACATATTTCACTCTCTACCACTTTCATAAATTTGCTGCATATAACTATCAAGTATTAGTGAAAAATTTGAAAATCAAAAAAAAAGATAGAAAAAAAAAACATACAACATAATTCACGATAGCCAATTACATTTGCGGGACCTTTTTATGACAACTTTTGTTTTACCAGAGAAATGGAGTTTGTTATAGTTTCTTTCTATATTCTACCAATTCTTTTTATGTTCATCCATGCTTACACCTCCTGGACCTAGTGCAACTAAAAGCATAAGACCACCTATTACCGAAAAGGTCTGGAAAAAATCATACTTTAAGAAATCACGGAGAGGACGATACTCGGGAATATTCCACCATGCGTTTGTATAAAAGTTGAGGGCGGTTAGCCACGCGACTAAGATCATAGCAGCGAGCTTCGTCTTGAATCCAATGCCGATTAAAATGATGAGCGCAGTTCCGAAGATGTTCTGTATCACATTTATAGGTGAAGTGTCGAAACGTAGAAGAGTAAAGAACATGAGAACTACAAGGATTCTGCCACTCAACTGCATATACGTCTTGGGTTTATTTTCTCCTGATGACGGCACACCTGCAAACAGACTGCGTCCTTCGGTTTTACTCTCTGCCAACAGTAAGATTAATCCACCAACTAAAGCCATATTTCTGTAAAGCAAAGTTAAAAAAATTGTATTTACGAGGTCTCCTTTATGCACAATCTTCTTTCTAAACATTCCAAGTTAATTTTGTTACATGTGACGAATTGTATCGTTCAAGTTATTGATATAATAAAATGAAAACAACATCATTACAAGTAAAAAAAAAATAAGATAACAAATTGAGTGTACAAAATATTTGAATTATAATAATAAGTGGGTAATTCTCAGCTAGGCCTAGCTGTACGCCTAGCCGTACGCCCAGCTGATACGCAGTGTGGCTAAGAAAAGTTTTGTTTTTCTGAGCATGTGCAGATTGTGCTTATTTGGCTCATTAGCATAACAATACCACACATAAGCTAATTCAAGTTAGACGGCTTAAACCAGCCAACTTCCTATCCTAGTAACAGTTGAAAGTCCTTGCCTCAACCCTGTACCATGTCACGTATTTGAGAGCAGGGCAAAAATGGTCATGTGTTATTTCAAGAATGGTTATCATTCATGTAAAAAATTGAGTAGCGGAATAGCTTTTGTACGTCATACTGTACATTCTCAGAGATGTTAAGAGAGAACTAGCAAATAATGCACTGGTGCTTATAACACATGATTTGAAGTCATTTCTTTAAAGGTTTGCATGGCAAAGTATCATAATTGCTTTAATCTCATCATCAGGAGAGTGATATCTGCAGGAAATAGTTACATAATTGTAAAGTGAAGTAATTTATAACTTACCTCATCAAAAACTTCACGTCCCATAAAATACTATAAGCAACAGTCTGTAGGTTAAAAAAAAAAAAAAAAAAAAAATCAAAATGCTGATTAAATTTAAAACAAAATCATGATAAAAGTGCGGATAATGTGTAATGTTCCAATCTATTAAGCATTTAGTAAAACAAAGAAGAAAACAAAGAGAGATTTTGTTAAGTAAATCAAATACAGTATTTTGTGTTAATTTATGAAAATATGTATCAGAAGCATTTATGCTTTATGCTTATATGTAATATTTCAAACTTTCATATTTGAATTTATTGAGTATTGAGTAAAAGATATTGAAAATGCTCAACGTTTCAGGTCCATCATGACCCGAAACATCAATCCTTTTTGTCAATAAATTTTGTGTTAAATTTATATAGTAAACGTCAGCTGATTCACAAGTAAATTTATGCAAGAAAATTGGGGCACAGCAGAGACACAAGTTGTGAAATAACAGCATGTAAAGAAGCTGGAAGTGGTCCAGAGATGAGATGGCTGCAAACGATTAGAGGAAAGAGGAGTGACAATGCGGAAGGGAATAAGAAAAGAAGATATAAGGTAGGAAGTAAAGGTTGCGAAACTGAGAGAAAAGAAGAAGGCAGATTGAGGTGGTATGGATACATGAAGGGAGAGGAAGAGGACGATTTTGTAAAATGGGCAGAGGAGTATGTACAGATGGGAAAAAAGTAGGATGACCTTAAAGCGATGGATGGGTCGTGAAGAGGTGGTGTCAGAGGGGAGTGGAGAGCTGTGTGGAGATGACTCAACACCCCCCTCCACACCCACTTTGAGGAGATAAGCAGAATGATGATGAGTAACAAATAGCTTACCTGTAGAGCAATGATACCGAAGAGGCCCCCACAAGCTATAGGCACCTTGGTCCTACTGAGAATCATCACACATCCACCAAGTTGCCCAAACAAGTTTAAAAACACAAATAAGATGCTGAAAATGCAAACAAAAATGAAAATGTTTTGTTTTTCCTTTTATACAGTATTTGTTTTAAGAGGTCCTTGGCTATGGTAGTCCACATGCAGGGATTTCTTACTGTTTTATGGCTTAGCAAATAACAATTAATAAAATTTTTGAGAAAAGATAGTACACATTAGCATGGAAGTGAGATCAACTTTCTTACGAATACAGTATTCATAATCTATTCATTCCAGCTGAAGTCAATATGTAAATATTTGTATCTTTCCAGTCCCGCTTGTTACAATAAATTCTCATTAAAGTTATTAATTAATATGACAATATAATCAGTAGTGTGAATAGACAACTGAAATTAACATGTATTTCAATCCAAATTCATATTATAATGGATCATAAAATTAACAATGAGCCTATCAGTTCTGAAGGTGTACTGTAAACAGCTGTTGTACTATAACTGCTTTTGGTAGTACTGCAACAGTAGTTTACATTCTTTCTATCAACCATTCCAATTTAAATCTCACATTAACTAGTTATATGACACATTAATCTATGACCCCCCACCAAAAAATTCCAACACATGATAAACTCTTGACAATTGATATTGAAATGGTTAAATGTGAATTACTATTTGTAATAAAAAAAAAAAAAATAGCTTTCGATTTTAATGGATTGTTGTTTCTAAATAGCTCAAAGAATATGAAATTACAAAAACAAAAGACAATTTTCTTTTTAATTAAGTTTTCCTCTTTAAAATGTGTTCTGAAAACCGTGATGAATTTGGTGTCCAAATTTATGCCAGCGACCTGACTAAAATGTACAGCAATACTCCTTTTGCAGTACATGTAAGACTGACCATGTACTGTATGTTTTCCATACTCGCCATCTTCGACTGCGAGTTGGTGTGGACCCTCCCAGCCAAAAAAAAAAAATGAATTAATAATATCGTTATACTGTAGAGATCGTTTAGTATTTAGGCATAACGAAAGATAACAAGCTAAACTGGTCTAAAATTTATTTTGAGTACGTATAGTCGATTATATTTCATGAGAATGTTAAATGGTTTCCACATAAGTTCAAATTTTGCGAATTTATGTTATTCTTCTACGAAGAAATTTTAGAGCCTTACAAGTCAGACACAACAGCCGCGTTTACGTGGTTCAAATCAACGTTTTGTATGGCAGAGAGGATGGCTCGAGGGCCGCCTTACAGTACTTCGTAGAAGACTCCCTTCCTAAGCCTAGGTTCGATAGTGTTCGTTCCTCTGCATTACTCTTTTTCGGATATTTATTTTAGCATGGTTAGCCTACAGTACTTGACCTACTACACAGAATAGATTTTGGTATTTCTGTTTTCTCTACAGTGCATAGAGACCATGTACGACCATTATACGCTATTATTTTAATGTTGCATTTTTTTGTGTTGGTTTGATGTCAGTCTTACGTTCCTGTAATGATTTTGAATATGTGATTGTTGTTTTAATGTTTGGCAGGCATGAGGGAATTTCATATTTTTTTACATGTCCCCGGACAAGTACCTTTGAAAAATGCACTTGTCCTGAAGACAATTTCACTTGTCCCAATATTATTGTGCACTAATCATAAAAAATAACACAAAAGTAAAGTATTTTTGCTATGGCCCTACAACATTAAAAGGCCGACATGCATACTGAATTAATCACGCAAAAATGTTTTTCTTTCTTTTTTGAATTTGCAAGAATTAAAACGACAACTGCAAGTAAAAATTTCTCAGGCATGGTTGATTCCCAAGATACACGTTATTTTTTTTTTTTTTGGGGGGGGGGGGAAATGGCCATACCGTATGTTTGTACCCGTTGCAGATCTTAATCAATTCTAATACTAACTTCAAATGTATTTCATTTACTTTTTTTGCGAAGGATACAAAAAAAAAAATTTCAAATTGCACTGGAAATCCTCTAGAAAAAGAGAATCACATACGTTAAAAGAGATGAAATTACTAGGCTACATGAATGAAAAACCTAATAGGTATCTTATAAATTACGCTTTATACACCTCGAAAGACGTTAATGTTATCACAATATTTAAATATTGAGGGCGCTTTTGACTAATTAGTGGGAATGGAGCGCTCTTCACTTCCAAAATTCTATCGTCTTTTTTTAGGTCTAGGTGTTGGAATGTCTGCGAGTTATAGTATATGTCTGCAACCATCATAATCAAGTTGAACACATTATAAACAAATAAATGCCATCATGAATCATCATGTTATCATCTACAGCAGTTACTACAGCAATCACATCAATGAAATGCTATGATTAACCATACATCATTAACTAAAAATCAATTACAATAATACACTAAACGCATTACCTTAAAAACCAGCCACAGCCCCATGTCTGTTCTATGTATTCCCGCTGTTCATGCCATTGAAACCACATACGAACACCATCCTCCAAGAATGTGCTGATCAGACAGAGTCTAGCCACATGGGGTAAAACATTCTTACTTTTCCTCAAAACCTAAAAGATATGTTGTACGTAAAATAAGTAAATCAGAAAAGATGAAATATTGTATACACTTGCCATCCAAATCAAAAGCTTGGAGCTCGTTTAAAATGTTTAATCTTAGTTGAATTGTTGTGTGGTTAAGACAGGGGCGCCACAACGTACAGCCATAATATAGGCGCTGGTTTGAACAGCAACCTTGTCTATGGTTCTGATGGTGGAATAAAGGACTATAAAAAAAACCGTAGGCCCAATATACACAATTTGGCTCATGTGCACTTTAAAGAACACAGTGTACATCTTTCGAGATGAGTATGGTTGTACTGGCCCATACAGCCCCTGTTGTGGACAGATGAGAGTACTGTAGCTGGTACCAGCTTACCGGGTAGCTCAGACCTTGAAGAGAAGTAAGTTACTCTACTGTATGAGCTAATCTACACCTTGTGCTACAGTATATAAATCATACATACATTTTATTTAAGTACTGTAGTACAGGCTTGTCTAGTATGGCTTATAGTACGTGGGGAATATATCCTCTGCACAAAAATTAGGCCTAGAAATCCCTCCGTGCATTTCTGAAAAAACAATGGCCAATTTCTGCACAGATTTTGCAAAAAATTAGGCTTTGGCCTAATCTTAATAATAATAATAATAGTATATCATGTATTATGCAGATAGTAGTACTGTACACAGTTTAGTTTCTTAGAGATTTTCATTGCAAATTTGAGCTAGTTTTTGAAGTATCATTTTACGCAAATAAAATGCTTTACAGTATGGTTCAGTATGAGCAATAGTATTAGTGGAAAGTCTGTAACATATATTTTTATGAATGATTTTGGGAATTAAATAAAAGTGACATTTATTTACAAGAAAATTGCATGAGAAATGTACAAATCAAGGACAAATATGTTTTCTGGAAACAATCAAGAAAATTTGCACTTAGAACACTTGGTTGGGTGGGGTTGAAATAGGGCCAAATTGACTTTTTAAGGCTGAGTCGACTCTACTTGGGTTGGGAACCAAGTTGACTTTTTTCAGGCCAATTTAGCAGGAGGATTACACAACCTATCTATCTATGCGGGAATTCCTATGTATATAGCCTACGGCTAGGCTAGCTAGGCCTAGCCTTACCTTTCCCTACTAGTATTCTAGGCCCCTGGCCTAGCCCAACTAGAAAAGCTAGGACCAGGTAACCACCTTAACAACTCCCTGGGTAACCATCTTTGCCATTATTGATGGGATTGGTACTTCAATAAAAACAAGCACATACAACTTACAAGTTACTATTTACATCAAGATTAGGCCTAGGCCAGTAGTGGTAGAATATGTATATGTTGTGGTGATTTTTGGCGCGGGCTAGATAAACAACATCAACGTGAGTGTACCCAATGCCTATCTATGAAGCCACATCCTCAGGCCTAGCATATATAATACGTATGCTGATGTGTCCTTAGCCTCGCTCACCACCAAGAAGAAAGAGCCAGGCCAGGCTCATCTCGACATTTCAAGACGTGACCCGAGATGCTTGTTCATGATAGTATTGTCATAGCCAATAGCACAAAACCCGTGCAATATGGGAATTACCTGATCTGCAACGTCTTCTGCCTTACTTATGATATCTTGCTGGGAAGCCATTCTGCATAATATAGTTAAAGAAACAGCAAAATCTCTAGCCTACCGGCTTTCGGTTACTCCCGAACTGTTGGGCCAGCAAATATCAGACGCATGAAGTGATCGGATGACCCCAGCCGGAAGTGACATCAGAGTCTATGCCACGTTGAAAATACAATTTCATGTGTCAATCAACGGCGGCGGAAGCGGTGGGGGAGGGGGAGGAAGGCCAATGCTTTTTCTACTGGGGACTGCTCCCCCCCCCACCCTTTTGTGACTGTTACCAGCACCAGTGACAAACATTTTACGAACGCTGCAATGTCATTGTTATTATTATTATTATTATTATTATTATTATTATTATTATTATTATTATTATTATTATTATTATTATTATTATTATTATTATT